CCGAGTCCTTTAAGCCCTCAAAGTGGTGCGGAAAGTCCTGGAGGCGGTGGAGGAAGACCTTGCACAAAACCTCGGGGGAGCCATAAAGGTGGATTTGTTCTTCCACCCATGGGCCAAACATTTCATGTTTGGCGCAAAGGCCAAGAAGCCCCTTGGTTGCCGCCTTTCCAGGCCAGTGCTTGTGCTGCGCTTCTCTCCAGCGGCCCCCGTCGTACAAACAAACCTGCACGTAGTCGGCCGTGCGCAGCTTCACACTTTGCAGCGCCATGTTCTCGGCGCGTGTGCGCGCCAAGGTCGGGAGGGCCCAACCTACATTGTGCTCCCCAAGATCCGACAAGCGGATATGGCAGGCACTCAAGAACGCGACCACACTTAGCAAAGCCAGGAGGTCCGGGACATCAAGTGTCCTAAGCCTTCCCTGCGGAGAAGCCACAGGGATGACCCTCCTGTAGAAAACCCCGCGGCCACGTAGGGTAAAACCCTTGCCATGGCCATTCTCTGACAAGGTGAGCAGAACATCACCAGAAGTCCCGGTCGAGGGATAAAGGTGAAATCTCTGGAGAGTCCCTCCAGAAAAATCTGCTCCTGGTCCATGTCCTCGGCGAGCCCCAGTTTGAGGACCTGAAAATCGGCTCCAAGTCCCCATTGAGCCGGGGGCTCCAAGGTGACACGACTGCCACCTACCCCCAAAACGGCCCATACCCCTCCATGCTCGTCCTCCAGCTCCGCCGGACTGTAAAAAGTCCAAGGCGTGCCAGACGAGCCCTTTTTGTTGAGGGACACGCCTCGGAGGGATCTCGGGATCTTCAGGGGCTGCTTGTAGAGAAGCTCCAAGGGAACCTCCGAACCTGGCTCCCTTCTGAGGTCCTCGCCCTTGATTCCCGGATCTGGGCCTGGAAGGGACTCCGCTGGGGATGGAGCCTCCTCCGAAAACTTGGTGGTGGCCGGTGAGTTCGCCTCAACCTGGTCACTGGGGACAGGATCTGGATGAGGTGAGGGTTCCTCAACCTGCTCAGGGACCAAAGAAGAGGCTGGCTCAGGTGAGATCTTCTCAACCTGTGTTTTGGAAGCCTTGCCTTCTGTATCCGGCTTGGGTGCCGGTGAGGTAACCTCAACCTGGGAGCTCTGGGCAGGCTCCTGCTTAGGAGAGGTCAGTACCTCTTCCTGCTCATGCTCCGAGGGAGAGGCCGGTTCAGGCGAGACCTTCTCAACCTGGGTTGAGGCGGCCGGGCCTGGATCACCAGCCTCTGTATCCGGCTTGGTTGCCGGTGGAGGAACCTCAGTCTGAGAACTCTGGGCAAGTTCCTGTTTAGGAGAGGTCAGCACCTCATCCTGCTCAGGCCCCAAAGGAGAGGTTGGTTCAGGTGAGACCTGCTCAACCTGAGTTGTGGAGGCTAGGCCTGGTTCATCAGCATTGGAAGGCGAGGGCACCTCAGCCTGCAGATTGGAACCGGAGGCTCTTGGCGAGGCCTCCTCAGCCTGGGCCTCTGTGCGTTGCCGCTTTGGCGGTGGTGGTGGTGGGGTTCGGGCTACCCCCGGCTTGGGTACGGCTTTTGGCCTTGTGATAGGGGCCTCAACCGACCTTGACAAGTTGGGACCAGAAGCCGGAGGTTCCCGGTCGGTACCTGAGTGCTGGCTTTGCCTGGAGTACCTTGATCTCGAAATAGCAGGTTTGCCCTCACTGAAACGATGCTGCAAGAGGGCCTGGTACCGCTGTTCCGTTACCGGGTCCTCGAAAGGGGCATTTTGCCCCTTCCCTGGCTTATTCTTCCCTTTTCCTTTACCCATCTTGGAGCCAAAGCTGCGAGAAGGCTCAGACATGGAGGGTTAGCAAAACCAGGTACGAGTAGCACTTAGACCAGGCTACATCTGCAGGCTTGGCGCAAACAGCACCTACCCCATCATCAGTTATGAGCTTGGAGGGGAGAAGTAAAGTTCGATAATGTCCTGAGGTCGGGGAGTTGCCTAAATGCGAGACCACGGCCTTGGGGTAGTAACGAAGAAGTTCCCCATCCAATCCCTCAAGCACACAAGGATCCTCAAAACCAACTGGGTTCTCGAGCCTCCGAAAACCCCCCCCTTCCCTAACAAACCTCAAAAGCTGCAATGCAATCAAAGGCGGGTGAGTAAGAATTTTCACTTCTCCACCTTGTTGCCAATTTGCCAGAAGTTCCTTCATAGAGACTTCGTGCTCCGGGAGGTGAAGAGGAAGTGGGAAAAGGTTACCCTCGTGGTGAGGTGCGTTGGGAGCATGAGCTCGCCATGAAACGCAAGAGAGGTCACGGGGAAGCCCCGAAGAAAGGTGCATGAGAAGTTGACAAACATCATGCTGGCTGTTTGGGGATTCCCATCGACCCTGGCCTGCAACTAGTCTCTTCCAAACCAGGGACTGCCACAGCTCGACTTTGCGCTGATCTTTCAACCATCGCAGGATGCCCTGGATGGGGGATCCAGCAAAGGGGCTGGAGGCATCAAGGAGCAGGTCAACCCAAAAGAAACCAACCACCAGAGAATTGGTGTAACAATGGTTGGATGGATTTTGGAACTTCACCTTGCGAACAATGGAGCCAGCAGCCCTTAAATCTCCAAGCTCTGGGCTTCCAGGATCCCGGTAATCGCGGACAGCAGGAGAGGGAGGCTCAATCCTGACCATGTTCTGCAAGGGAGGGTCATCGGGAGTAAGAGTTTGCAGGGGAGTGGCCTCAACCCTGTTAAGAGGTGTTGCAAAGAAGTTGCTAAGGTTTTGGGCTTTTGGGAGAGTCTCCTTAGAAAGCTTGCTAGCCTTCTTGGAGGCAGGTAGTGACTCCGGAACCCCTACACCACTTAACAAACTCTTGGTGAACTTAGTCAGTTTGTTAGTGTGTTTACGGGTCACACACAGGGACTGGAGGAGCCCCGGGACTTTCTTTGCCCGCGCTGGCAAAATGCCTTCACACACTTTACACTGCCAAGCTTTGCCTATGGAAACAAGCTGATGGGAAGAGTGACAGGCCAGGTGATCCGGGGGACGACCTTCCCTTCCCAAGCACGGCTGGGCAAGGACCTGCTGGAACAGTGAAGGAGGGTCTACTTGCTGCAGGTAAAGGCCACATTTCCCACACATGGCTGTGAGGTTCGTAGGGTGCTGACTCCGAATTTCCCACTGGTGTCCCAGCGGAGAGACGGTTTGGCTGACGAGTTGCTCAATCTGTTGCCTTTTGTTGAGGGTTGGAGGTTTTGGCTGGCGCTTGCAGAAAATAGTCTTCTTGTCCTGCGTAGTAATCAAAATCTCCGCCCTCTGGCTAAGTAGCTGGGAAAGGGTGGAAACCAGCGTGTCAACTTGCTGACTTGCTTTTTGGCATCAGGGTGCAAAGCTTGGTCAGCCCTGGACCCAGCAAGTTGGTCAGCTTCCTGATTCAAATGCCAACGCCAAACCTCATCTTTTCCAAACTTTTCAGCAAATTTTCCTACATCCAAGTGAGCCTTAACCCAATGAAGATGTTGTGGGGATATGTTCTGCCATTGGGGTTTCCAAAACATGGAATGCTTGGATGTAACCGCCCTAGCTGCAGCCTGCTTGCAAGCTACCCGAGAATCCGTAGTAAGATCCGTCAGGCCTGGGCAAAGCTCATGGGCCTTAACAATGGCATGGACCTCCCCATCTAGAACCGTGGCCGGCCGAGGCAAAACCCCGCTCGCCGTTGCAATAACTGTGATACGTTGGCCCGTTTTGCGTGCTAGAATCACAGCCCATCCAATGGTCCGCAATCTGGGATCGGATGAAAATTTTCCGCCACTGGCATCAGTACCAATGACAAGATCCGAGTCCCAAGGCTGTGACGGCCAGGTGCCCGCATACCTATCCTCAGCGTTCTGAAGTGGCGAGGAGACATAGGCAAGAGGGGGAAGGGCTCGCAACCAAAGGCAGGGCGCAGGATGGGACTGACGCATTTGTTCAAGATGCCTGGGAAGCTTTGGCTGACTGGCCCATCTGGGGCAGTCCCACAGCACATGTTGTAGTGTGTTTTCTGAATCAAGGCCCCGATCCTTACAGTACGGGCACTTGGGGTGGCCACCACTTCCCGCATGCACAACTGCACCTTGCCAAATTGACCTGTAGAAGGTCAGACGTTTGGTCTTCTTTAAAGCAATGCGGCGATGAATTGTGAAATCTACACCCTCCTGAGCTCCTTGGCCGCCATGTTGGCCAGAGATGGCTCGCAACCTTTCGCTCTTGATGGTAGACCGAATCTTGCGCCGCAGCTCCTGAAAAAGAAAGGGGCTGAAGTCAACGGGCCAGGGGTGGCCATCAATATGCCAGACTTCCGGGGACTGAACATCCCATCCCATATCCCTGGCATACTGAATCATGGCCGAAATGGGTCCGGCAACGATTTTCCAAGGGTGAGGCGAAGCCTCCAACCTGGATTTGACCAAGGGCCAGGACCTTTGAACTTCCTCCCAGATGGAAGGAGAACGGCCAAGAATACGAAGAAAAACTTGCAAATGCTCACAAATGATCTGCTCTCGGGGATCCGGAAATCTGTGGGAGAACATCTCCAAGACGGTCAGGGTTCCTCCTAGATGTTGGCGTCCTAAGCTACCAGCCAGCACAGCGCGGTGCCATTTCAACCTTTTGGGACTAACACCCTGTGCCTGATGGCCATAGGTGGCACAAGTCATGATGGATCCGCGCACAACCCTCGTGCGTGAACATTGCGAATCAACACCTAAAGCACGAAGGCGCTTGTGGCGGCCTTGCGCCTTCTTGTGCCTGCCCAGAGAGGTGGCAAGCCTGCGGCGTCTGCCAGCATTGCTGTCAACTCCTAAGTCTTTGGCTAACAGAGTAATGCCAGGATCTTGGTCCGAACGCAGACGCGCAAGAACTTGAGAGGTGGCAGAGTCTGAGCAAAGAAACTTGGTTTTTTCCAAGGAAACCTGAAGATTTCGTTCCGCAAGAGAGTCTCGCAGTATACGAAATGTCCTGAGGGCTTTGTGAGCCGTGTTAGAAGCAGTGGACCCTACCACGTCAGCCGAAATGTCATCCAGCCACTGGTCGATGTTGTGAGTAAGGCCAGTGGCCTGAAGGTCCCTGATTGGGACAAACAAAGCCAGTTTCGAAACCACCGGCGCAACAGGGCAACCCTGAAGCAGCCCAACTGTGGGAATGATTCCCGGCGAAACCGAATTTTCGGCTGAGACAAATCGTGTCCCACCATAAATTTGAAGGGAAAGCTCCAAAAGCAAAGGTGGGAACTGTAACAGGAGTCCAGTGTCGACTACCGAGGCCCAAACCACACAATCATAGAAACCTTTGATATCAAGAAAGAGTCCTACAAAGTGTTTGGACTGAGTTCGGGAGGCTTCGGCCCACAGCAACCGGCGGATGCCGATGTCTAAAGATGTTCGACCTGGCACTGCGGCATCCCAAGGAGCCAGGGCCTGGTAGGAGACCGTCCACTCTTGGATCAGGGACCACCTGGCTCTGCAGTAGTCCCTCCACAAAACGTGAGTTAAAGAGATAGGTCTCTCAGCAGTAGCCGATTTGGGCAGCATACAAACTTGTGTCAGGAGAAACTGCTGCGGGACTCGGAGGCCTCTTTCGAGCTCCTGATAAAATTCAGCGATGTCCTGAAGCATTGGCCAAGTCAATTTCTTGAGAAGGGACTTGCTCCAGCCGTCCGGTCCTGGGGCAGTGACCCTGCCTTTGGAAAACCTTTGTTGCAGCTGTTCCGGGGAAATGGGGCTCAGGGTAGCGACCTGCTGAGCAGCAAGTTCCCGTAACTTTCCGCGAGCCTGTTGCTCTGCGTGTGGAAGAGGAGGAAGGTCCTCAACTCTAAGTACGCCTTTCCAAGTGCGGAGCCATAGTTTGGTTCTGGCCAGGGCGCGAACCTCTGCGGACAGATCCCGAAAGGGACGTGCAGTGGTGATTTCGCCTTTTTTGATCGTCTTGAAAAGGGGGGCCATCCCTTTTTCTTGGGCTCCCTGCAACCACGACCTGTACGATTTGGTCTGGGCATCCTGGTGAACTTTAGAGGCCAGCAGAAATTGCTCCTGCAATATTTGCTGGACGGGCTCGGGAACAGCAGCCTGCTCCGAGAGACAGGCCTGGAGCGTAGAAAGTAAAGAAACTGCGTCCTCCGAGTTGCCCTGCCAGTGGTCCAGGATCTGCGGCAAATACTCCCGGCATTGCTCTCGACGTTTGGGGTGGTCTCCCTGGCACAGAAATTGTACCCGGTGCCAAAAAGCCTGGCAAGAACCTTCCCATGCGAGCTGGGACATGCGAGGAACAGCTGGGAGGAATGCAACTTGGAGTTGGCGACCAATACCCTGGGACGATTGCAAAAGACTGTGCTCAACCGAACTGGAAATGGAAGCAAGTCGATTGCTCAGAGGGTCAGCCGAAAAGGTGGTATCCGGCAAAGAGGCGAGGGTCTCCTCAACCTGTATGTAATCAAGCGGTTCTTCCCTGAAGGAAAGCACAAAGGAGGGAAGCTGTGGAGTGGTGAGCTGGAAAGCGCCAACATTGAGGGCAACTTGGATTGCTGCATGTGGCTTGAAAGGGACATCCCAGGAGGCATCAACCCGGAGCAAACCCTCCAGGCAGTGTGATACAGCCAGAAAATCAAGCTCATTGTCACCACAGGTGGCTTTGTTGGGCCCAATTGGTTCCAGGGACAAACTTTGAAAAATGGAAGTGTCCAACAAATCCTTCAAAGGCGAGTTCCAGTCTCCACCTATCAGGATTGGGCCCCTCACAGATTGACGAATTGCGCGCAGAGATGCAAGGATGTCAGAGTTGACCGGGGACCCGAAGCCGGAAGAAGACTGGAGGTACAGGCTAACTACTGTCAAGTCAGCCCCTTGTGTGCGTAGCGTCACCGCCACGTAACCGCAACCTTGGTTGGTATACTGGCCTCGCAAACGGGCTCCCAGGTGGGCTCTAACTAAAACCCCTACTCCGCCTCTAGAGCTATTCCGTCGGCCCTCCCCAGGGGCTGCGGGCACAAGGAAAGAGTCAAAGCCCATGGCAGCCATAGACGAAATTTCAGCAACAATTTGGGACTCCAAAAGGTGGTGCTCCTGAATCAAGATAACATCCCCTTGAGCTGAAAACCATTGCTTGACTTCTGGCCTCCAAGAAGTGATGTTGCAAGATGTGACTCGCATTTGCCTGTGCCCCTGTGGCTGCGATTTGCGCAAAACTTCAAAGCCCCGAGCAACAAGCAAGAGCAAAGCCAAATCAAAAGAACGTTGGAGGGCCAAGATCTCCTGGCACAGCCACCAACCTAAGCTGCCCTGCTCAACCTGATCAAGAAGGTGGCCAACCACCTCTGAAGTTGCTCCCAACAGATCTGGGTTCTGGACAGCCTCCCACACCTGGCCTTCGAGTGTGCGCCACTGGCTGTGTGGGCTTGCCAAAGGAGGCACCTCAGGTGGCATTTCACAAGGGGCAAGCTGAGAGAAGGGTACCCGAATGTGTTTGGGCTTTTTCGTTCTACGTCTGGTTTTATTACGTTTGCGGGTGACCCCTACCTCGGCATGGCTCCCCGACGCCTGTAAGCGAGGAAACTCCTCAACTTGAGATGCCGTTGCTGAGGTTGTGGCCACAAAAGCAGAGATTGGAGAAGCACCGGTCACAGGGACCTCATCAAACTCAGTTGTCGAGAAAGATGGGGGCCAGAACTGGGGCCCTGTGATGAGTTGGGTGTCCTGGGACTGCATCGGGGTGCTGTGGCGCAATCCTTTGGTAACAGTCTGCCAGGCACTCAGATCCCCACAAGAATCCCATTCTTCCTGACCAGAAAAACCTGGCAACCAAAACTGACCCCATACAAGGTCGTTGTTGCAAAATTGTGAGTAAGCCTCAACATACCCTGAAACCTTCTCTAAGGACTTGGGCTGCTGAGGTTGGCACTCCCCCAATGAAAACAAATCACTGTACAAAGATATGGGTCGCTTAACCGATTCGCCGGAAAACCCGCATGGCTGAGAGCTGGACGCAGGGGCACAGGAAACGTCTTGATCAAGCTGAAGGGCAGGCTGAAATGCATAAGCAGGTTGCCCACTCTCCCCACTTAAAGGACCTTCCTCGAAAACAGACCTAACCTGGACCCCCAGCCCCACTCCCTAACCTTGCTGAGTGCTACGGCCTCGGCTCCTGGACCTGGGCTTGGCTTGCTCATGCGGCTCAGTGCCCTTGTGTTCTGGCAGAGTTTGGCTCAGCGGGGCACGGGTCGGAGCCGTCAAACCAGGTTGGTTTGTGGCTTCAACTTCCATATTCTGCTGCCCATCATTATGCTTGCCGCGCTGGGCCTCCTCGTAAAGATCCTTCTGCTCCTGGGTCAGGACAATTCCAACTTTGGCAAGCGTATCCAGAAGCCCTTCCAAGGGATCATCCTTGCGCGCGGGGTCCTCCAGACCCGAAGCATCAGCACGGAGTGTGGCTTCCAACTCCGACTGCATAGCCGTGACTTCAGCTTGTTTGCTCTGCAAGTCAGATTGGCAAACCTTCATCTTCTCAAGCAGCTCCTGGTAGGTTGCTTTGGCGCGGTCTATGCGAATCTGTAAGGCAGCAGTTTGCTGGATCATCAGTCGCAAGTCCGTAGTGCTCTGCTTAAAGCGACGAGTTGCAATCTCAATCTGCTGAGTCTGCGTGGGGGCCGGAGGATCCAGTGCTGCAAGGGCTTGCTGGATCGAAGGCGGCATTGACTCCAAGTGCTTCTTGCAAAGGGCCGCAAGGTCTGTTGGCTCCGACGCAACCGGCTCAGGGATGCCAGCTTGGCGCATCAGCTTCTTCTGATCATCAGACGCAGAGTCCCACAGGTTCTTAGAGGCTTCGGCCTGCTCGTCAAGCCCACCCTTTGCCCCGTTGCCTTTTCCAGACTGGAGGCCTGGAGGCGGACTCGGCTGCCGGCCTGCTTGGAAACCTGCCTCGCTCAGTTCCTTCTGGACCTCTGGGGGAAACTTCTGCCAAAGTGTCGTGACGACTTTGGAGAGGTTGCCCTCTTGATTCCTAGGCCGTTGGGGGCTTTGGGTGGCACTCTCAGTGGTTGCGCTTCTGTCCCTGTTCTTCTTGGGACCCCGCGGGCGCAGTCTTTGAGTGACCGGAGCACCCTTTGTCTTCCAGGCGTTGCCACACAGGTTGCAAAAGGGGTGGTGCTGGACTCTGTCTACGAAAATCCAGCTCTGCTTACCCGCCCTAGAGCAGTGAGGACAGACGATGTAGGGCGTTGCTGCACCCTTGGCACCGTTTTTTCCCCAAGTCATGGCGAGCAAGCTCAACCTGTGACAACGGCTGAGCAAGTGTTCGGCTTGAAAGCACGTGCAGTATGGCGCTACCCCGCCCCAACCCTTGCTGGACAGCCAGCCTACGACCTTTAAGGTTGCGGTTTGGGTTCCAGTCAGGGCCTTTAGCAAAAGTAGGGACTCCAGGCTAAAAGGCCACGTCGGCACTGCAAAGTCTGAGCCGAAAACTTGAGCCAGGATTGAAAATCAACTCCCCCTCATGAACCTGTCGTCGAGAAAAGGTACCGGTCCAGTGGCTGCTGTTGCGTATTGGGCTCGTAGATCTTCTCACGGTCCACGATAGTTTTATGGCTCTTCCAAAAACGGCTGCGGCTGTACAAAGAGGCGTCAGCACCTACCAAGCACTCAAAGCCCTAAGAGCTGTGTGAGCAAAAGCTTCGGGGTAGTGCTGGGTGTTCTTCAGAACGAACATCTTACTATGCTCGTGGTTTCCAGGGCACTTTAATTTATCCATGCAGTGAATGAGAACATGACTGTTCGAGCACAACCTCCAAACCTTCTTCACAGGAAGTGCGTCCATTCCAACCATACCGCAGGCACAACCATGCACAAGAGCGGTCTCATGCGGATTGATCTTAAGGAATGACTTCGTAGCGGACCATCCCCAGTAAGCACAACGTTGCGGCCACTCAATGACCCAAGTTGCCGAATCAGATGTGTTGACTAGCTTCAAGAAGCTCTTCCAGAGCTTTCGGTGGACTGTGAAAAGTCCTTTCATCCTTTCATCATAGTGATCTGCAGATCGGGCTTGGTGATAGCGCTGCCAAGGCGAACCACCGGTACAGGGCGTCGAGGCCCACACAACAACATGCATGTTCCGACGGTGTGCCGCACGAAGGGCGTGCTCAATGAGCTCGATGGTCTCCGGAAGAGTCCCATCCGTTTCTTCCGTCACGGGAATAGCATGGATGCCATAGTGGCTAGCAAGCTTAGTCAACCAGGCTTCTCCAGAGGTGCAGAACTCGACCATCACAATGTAATGCGGTGTCTGCAACCGACAACGACCAACCAACACACTCCAAGGATCATCGACGCTTGCAGAAAACAGACCTTTGAACGCGGCAAACACAAGGCAACGGACCGGGGGCGCATCACCTCGAAGATAGTCACTACGGGTGAGACGTTCCTCAAGACACAACTGTCCTATATGATACCAAGTTTGCGCGACACTCAAGTTCTTTGTTTGCAAGTCGGCGACGTTATCCGTTCCTGGGACGTGTGTAACCAGGATCTCGCCGTTCTCAACCTTATCCTGCAAGTAGCAAAGACGAAGGTCCACATGACGCATCCTTCTCAGGAAGCCGGACATCATACTGACTTGGCGAGCGGAAGAGCTGTCCGTAGGCAGGTATAGGGGTTGCGCAACGCTTTCGAAAAGGTGGCCCAAAAGCTGCCCCAATCCTACAAGCTCGCGCGCCATCTCAACCATAGCGAAAAGCTCAGACTCCGCACTGGAGAGTGCTACGATAGGCTGGAGCCTCGAGTAAGTCTTGATACAATTCCCATTCAGGTAAATCACTCCTCCGCTGGTGCTCTTCCGTCCAGTAGAGCGCTCAGAGGCCCAATTAGCGTCGCTGAATCCAACGAGGGTTGCAGTCCCAGGTTGAGCTTTGGAGTCCTTCTGAAAGACCTGAACAAGATCGGGAACCTCCAAAAGCCAACGGAGCACTTTACGCATACAATCCTCATGCACAGCGCGCGGACAGGCTTGACCTCTAGACAGCATGGAGTGAAAATAACACAAATCCCCCCTGGTTTGCACAAGCCAGCCTAGTTTCCCTAGGGTGCTTCTAAAGCGGCTCGCGGCTTCAGGGGAGAGCTCTTCGGAGGGCTTCTCGGGGTCTTCCTTGTCAAGGATCGATCGGAGGTCTGGTGGTGCAGTGCAGGGCTTCATCTTCCTGCGGTTCTCCTGGCTCCACCCAAAAGCCTCGAAGATCGAATCGACGTATTCTTTCTTCACAGCCAACAAGATCTCATGGCCACGCTTGATTATCTCACGGCCTAGGAATCCGATCCTGCCGTCCTCATCCAAGCGTCCAGTCAACTTGACCTTAAGACGGCCCATGAGGAAGTCTAGAAGCTGTTGGTTTGCCTCTTTCGTTCTTGTGGCTAGCAAGATGTCGTCGACGTACACAAGACAAAGCACAAGGATGTCTCCCCAATACCCTTTGTACAACGTAGGTTCAATAAGAGAAGGAAACAATCCCAACTCAGCAAGAAGTCCAGCAAGATGCTTCTGCCACGAAAGGCCTGCCGATCTCAAGCCATATATGGCTTTCTCCAGGATGACGTAAACCTTAGAGCCATCAAGGTTCTGAAAGCATCCCGGCAACTCAAGCACGGTATCAAGAACCAACTTGGCATACAAGAAGGCAGTCGAAACGTCAAGTCCCCAAAGGACAAGCGTATCCTGGACAACACGACAGATGAAAGCCTTGAAGGCCTCCACAGAAGCAGTCTGGCTCGCAATGCCCAAGTCAAGCGCCGAAGGTTGATTGAAAGCAAAGTCTTTTGCAACAAGGCGCGCACGCACAATGTGCTGATCGTCAACATCAACCTTGTCAGTGAAGACAAAACGCGACTTAATGATCTTGGCACCTGTCTCCTGGCAGTGGGTCTTAATCTCATCATAGGTGCGGGCGTTGCCGACACCCAAGTTGTGCATAGCAGACACCTCTTTCTGCATGCCAACCCACGTTTTCTCAGGATCCAAAGGCAAGCCACTGACATCATCAACCACAGAAGTGGGCTTGATGACCCACACCTCCCGATCACCGAAAGGCATGGCTACCCCCTCATCGGGGTTACTGTGCTGAGCGGGTGCTTTTCTCTTAAGCTGGGCAGCAAACAAGCCGACCTCACCGTAATCAACAGGACTCAGGTGATGCTTCTGGTCCGGAATCACTGAGAACATGAACTGAGGCATGCTCGCACTGTCAAGGACATCCGGGACCTGAGCAACATCCATGGGCACAGTGTAGTCGTCCATATCAACCTGATCCATCTCAACGTCCCCACCAGGGAGATACTCCTGAGGGAGCTCAGAGTCTTGGGCTGCCTGTGAGGGTTCGGGCACCAGGTGCTGCAGATCCTCAGGAACAGGAGACCCAGGAAGACTGGGCTCGTAGTCCAAG